AAGCAGCTGGTGGGGGAGCCTGCTCAGCTTTGATTTTCCAGCCATATTGTCCAGGAGCAAGCAGGATGCCTGGGCTTGGGAGCGGGGTGGCTGGGACTGAAGGGACAGTCTGATTGCAGCATCCCCAGCAAGAAAAGTGGGACCTCACCTGGGGTCACTAGGCTGTTGAACAGGCCACGATGTCCACGGAGACCTGCACACGCAGGAACATCAGACCAAGGTCTGAGGGGTTCCTCCTGCCTGTGCAAACTGCCCGGAAATGTCTTCTGCAGCTGCATGGGATGTCTCCATCGGCATCAGGGCGAGGGAGAGATGCCAAATGAAGGTGGGGCTTTATAAAGGGGGGCGAGCCTCTTCCCTTTCCCTTCTCCATCCCAACACTGGCGTGACTTTTTTTTTCCCAGATCTCTGGTCTCCAAGCTGTACCAGATGGAGACTGGCAACAGCATCCCCAGGGGAGGCAATCAGCCCTTGATAAATGTATCTTGGGGAGACCTTCCACCAGCAAGGGGCTGTTTCACCTCGGTAATGTTAATATTAATCTGCTTATCTGCCCCCTGGCCATAAAACACTCATCTCCAAAGAGGAAAAAAAATAAATTCCCACTGTTCTTTCTTTATATCTGCCCTTGCTTATTGCGGGCCTTATCAGCAAACACTGCCAGCCTTCAGGGCAAGGGAGTCACGCAATGGCTCCAGCAGATGGGACCTCTGGTCCTACACCAGCTTCGGCATTGTGTGTTCCCACTGCAGCTGGAGCCACCGGGCCAAGCCTGTGAGAGCTTCTCCACCCCATGGGGACGGTGTGACATGCTGCTGCCAAGTCCCTGGTGGTCTTGGTGCTCTTCTGAATCACCAGGTTAGTCACTGAGAGACCCAGATCCACATCCAGGATGATCCCACCTTCCCCTGCAGTAGATGAACGCCAGCTTTGGGATGTCCATTGTGGAAAAGTGGTTCATGACTCTATTGCCTTTGTCCTATGGCCCCCTCCTATGGGGGAGATGTTACTTGGCTGATGGACCTCGTGGGTTGTCCTAAACCATCCTTCCACTTTTCCTCAAAGGCCTCTGATAGCCCACAGCTCAAACCATGGCTTGGACCTCCCAGTCCTCACTCTTGCTTTTCCTGCAATATTGCGATTATGACATTGAGTGGTGAAGACAACGAAGCTGGTGTGACCCAGAGTGAGGCTGCTCAGGCTGTTTCAGTGGATTCAGATGGGTCCAAGGCTGTATCGACTCAATGTTTATCACAGACTGGTGACCAGACAGGACCTGGACACATAGACTTACTCCTTTTCATCCAGGCTTGTTTAGTGGGTCTGAACACCTCCCTGCTCTGTCTGGAATCTCCCTGAAGTCTTGGGCAATCAGCTTCCCCATTTTCTTCCCCAACACGCTCTGCCGTTTCTATCTCTTCGAAGTTTTTGTGCAATGCATGATGAGTGATTGGTATTCAGACCTGAAAGGAGCTCTTATTGGTCAGGGTCTGGGGCTATGGCTGTGCAGATGCCACCCATGGGAACAGATTCAAGAGCAGTGCGTGTTGCACAGGATGGTTATACTTGTTCCTGTATCGTTGCTTGCTAGGTGATGGGTTGGCCAATATGTCTTTGCATGCAAGTTGAAGAAAAGGAGGCATCTGGCTCTGCTGTCATGGGTTGACTGACAGCCAATGTAAACTCTTGGGTTTCAGTTGGAGAAAGTCCTGTTCTCCTTCCCTGCCCCATTGTGAAAGCACCCTTGCTCCAGCCCAGAATACCAGCAGCTTAATTTTCTCCATAGCAAGGGACTGCCAGTTGGGCTCGGTGGACCTTCTCACCCCAGGTGGACTGCAAAACTCTTGCCAGCTGCACAGTGGGACTGACAGCCACCACAGCTGTAGTAAGACACAAACCCTTTCACAGCCAGCACTGGCCAAGCACAGAAACACCTGGTGACTACGGTGATGGGAGGGGTAAAGGCATCCTTCCTTGTGTCCTTTAGGGCCAGTAGGGACCATGGTGAATGAGGCTTAAGGTGGCTGAAGTCCTCCAACACACTGGTGCCTCCAGGGAGGCTTTCCTCCAGCTCAGTTAATTTGAAGGATCCCTCTCATTTTTCTGAAGAATTAATCTGCACAACATTGGTGTAAGGTGGTGCAAGGTCGTCTGATAGATTCTCAAAGAGGCAGTAAGTGCATTGAGCTCCTCTATGGACAAAGATAAACCTCTGCTGGACAGGATCTTAGAGTGACATGAAAAGTCAGCTAGGCAATTAAAAACATAATGTAGAAACACAGGAACAGGCTGTCCTTGGAGGACTTGGAGAAGTACGAGCATTTTTCCAAGATTTCCAAGGGTTTTTTTCCCTGCAGACACATCTACAGTGAAGGCAAATTTCAAGCAGCGAAAACTTGTCCCCTGATTAGTCTGGAAGTAGTGATACTGGCTGGACCTCAGTAACATCATCCTCATCTCCACCCAAGCTTTGGGCATCACTTCAGCCAAGATCTTTAACCATCGATGGAGGCTGTGGGAATATGGTGTGGGTTGGCTGTCCTTCAGCTATCAAAGAGCGATCCTAAAAGAACACAGCCCAGTGGTATTCAGACCAGTTTAGGGTACATTCCTTTTCCCTCTAGCAAAAGACTGTTCACAGCCCCCATAAATGTGCTTTATGGTGCTAAGACTGGATATGATGGAATAGCCAACATTTGATGGAATACCCAACATTTGATGGGATATCCAACACTAGAAATGCTGGAAAAATGAAAAAGGCAGGAAATGCTACAAAGTGAACAAGACAGGACAGGAGTTTCAGTGGCTTTGGTTTATTATAGTATCCCATGAAGTTGTACCAGACTCAGCTCTGCTACAAGGACACCCAGGTCTTTGCCCCCTGGCAACATCTGGGCAATGGACGAGCCCACTGCTCAGTTGATGCTCTTCATGGGGAAGCGCTGCTTGACCTGGAAGTGCTCACATCTTCTGTGCTTCAGGGCCAGTCCATAGAGTGGCGTCATGTCCACCTTCTTGCCATCGCAGACACTGAACTCCAGCTGCTGGAGCAAGGTGGACAGGAAAAGGAAGACCTGCCACCTGGCAATGGGCTCCCCAATGCACTTCCTTTTCCCCAGGCCGAAAACCAGCACCTTCTCCCCATCTGCTTTGTTCACTTCAGTCCCTTTGGCATTGAGGAAACGGTCTGGGTTGAAGGTCAGTGGATCCTTCCAAAGTTTCCTGGAAGGGAAAACAACAGGTGCTGAGATGGTGTCTCCTGGCCACAGGTGTAGGAGGACACTGGAAGGTGGTAGCTCAGAGGGATCAGAGGAGCTGTCAGTAAGAATATCCCTGAAATTAGCAGATACCTCCCTGCTCCCTTTTCTCTTAAAGCAGGTCCGACCCCACATCTGCCCAGGAAGACAACTGTGCAGGAAGGGGCCTGCACATTGCCGCAGGAGGCTTTCTGCCTCTGGAGGTACTTACTCATCATGGTTCACTTGCCACTGATTGACAAACACGCAGCGGTCCTTTGGGATGTAGTAGCCGTTCAGCACCGTGTCCCTGGTTGTGCTGGAGGGAGAAACGACTGTGAGAGTCTGGGAAGCAAAAAGGCTCTTCTGCATCCACAGGGGACTATTAGTTTGCTCCTGATGCCACTGAAGTGAGGATGCAGCCCAGAGAGATGGCTTTATGAGTGGCAGTCGCATTGTCTGTGAGCTGGTTTGGGCAACCCCTACCTGAGCCAGGTGGAGTGTCTTCAGAGAAGTCAGCAGAAGGCAAAGATTTCTCTTTGGGAGCTCCCACATTGCCCTGCACGAGAGCTGTGAGCTCTGTGACGAAGCCATTGTTCTACGAGTTGATAATAATCTCCCTGCCTCGCACCATGCCGCTGCTGCTGGCATGGCTGTAACAAGATGCCTCAAGGGCACCTCATCCCCCCACCTTCTTTGCAACCTCAGCACTTGCCTGTGCGGGATGGTGAAGGGCAGGAAGGACGAGTGCCTGAACATCTCCAGGATAAAGGCTTCCATGTAGGGCAGCGTGCCCCGGTCCGACAGCCTCGGTTTCCTCTCCCAGCCGATGGTCTGGTCTGCAGGGGGTCGAGAGGAGGGAGTGGGTTGGGGCCAGCCCTCACCAGAGAGGTTTTGGCCCCGAAGGAAGCAGGTTCATGGACTCACCCAGTTCCTCCTGGATCTTCTTCTGGATGTTGGGGTACATCACAAGGTACAGGAGGCTCCAGGACAGGCCAGTTGTCACAGTGTCAAAGCCTGCTCAAAGAGGAAAGCATGCCGATGAGGTCTGTACAACACACGGGGCATGTGCCTTGGCTTACTGCCTAACCATGACAAGGAGCAGTCTTGGATGGCTAAGGGTGGCAGAGGACATTCTGGGCACACGGTAAGACTTGGGTTTCTACCCTCTTGGAGAAAACTTTGCTAAAACATTCTGCGCTCATTCGTCCTGATTCACCCTTGGGTTATGTCAGGTTTGTATAACTTCTCTGGAATCGGGGGAGTTTCCACAGAGTAACTCAAAGGTGAATCAGTCAATAGACATTTCCCTTAACCCAGAAAAGCCACCACAGCTTGTGAAGCTTGACTGAGCTATAAAGCCCTTTGCTTTTCCCCGAAGCCTCTTTCCAGAGCTGATGTCCCATGCTGGTCTCTAGGGGTAGCCCTGGAAGGTCCAGGAACACCAGTGAGCAGCAGAACAAGTGCTTAGACCCAAACCGTCTGCCTGGTGTTGGACGAAGATGGGTCAGAGAGAGCTATAACACGAGGAGCCTGAGAGAATCTGCAGCAGCTGAGGAATGTGTGGGAAAAGATACCTGCTCCAAAGAGGTCATTCACAAGGTTGACGATCTTCTCCCTAGGGATCTGTGTGGCAGTATTTGCTTCCACTTTTGTCTCTTGGCACTGCTTAATGAGGGAGTCGGTGATGTCTCGGATGTTGTTCTGAGAGGAAGAGAAGACAAGTCATGGCAGCAGAACCAGTGGAGGAATGGGTGTTACTGAGCAACAACGCGATGCTGGGGGAGCCCAGAGTCATACAAGCTCTGGGGAACATCATCTTTCAGTCCCCATGATCCCTACTGCTTTTGCAACCTATGAAAACAAAGAGATGGCTCTCCAGGGGAACCTGTGGCAGAGATCAGATGTTCAACGAACAGACTGGCCCCATCACACAGGGCCATGGAGAAGAAGGAGGACTACAGTACTGGACTGCACATGGAGAGACAACAGCTAGACTTGCTAAAGGCAGCAATACCTGCAAGAACGTAGATGTCCATTGGTGCTTGTCTGCAAGAAGAAAAACAACTCGCTAATGGAGAGGGGCAAAAGAGCGGGGATGCATCTCTGGTGCAGGTAAGGGTCCTGTGAGCTCCTACCTTGTCATAGGTCTTGTAGTGCTCCTGGACAATCTTCTGCAGGAAATGGAGGAATCGCTTATTGAAATCTTTAAATAAACTCATCGTGCGGCTGGGAAGATACTGGAGCACAGGGATGAAGTCAGCGGGGTTGCCAGCAGCTGCCACGTCGCCAAACTGGTCACTTACGTTCACTATATTGAGCAGCTCTTGGTCATTGTGGTCGTAGCGCTTGCCAAAGCAGATGGCGCAAATGACATTGGCCACAGAGACCACCAGGTAGCGGTAAGGGTCAAAGCTCTTCTCCTCATCCATCAGCTGCAGGAACTTGGTGACCAGGTAGTCGGCCTCCTTGGAGACATGCTCCTCCAGGAGGCAGGTGGAGGAGGTGGGGCTGGGGGCGATGGAGAAGGTCTTCAGGGCGTTCTGGGCCAGCTTTCT